CACACACACACACACACACACACTATAGGCCAAGAATACATATAGACCAACTAACCAGACATTTTTAATTATGAGATGTAAAATTTCTCACATTGGCAGCTGCTGTTTGTGAGCCTGATTTGGTCTCTCAGCAAGTTTCACTTTGTGAAATGAAGCTGATTCAGTTTGGTGGCATACTGCCAGGCCTGTTGAGACTCATCTGTGGTTTTTTCGTAGGCTGCTGCTCGAGAGGTGTTGTCTACCCATATTGGCTGACTGGGTAGTGACTGAACTACTGAAGCTATTAAGGCCATAAAACACACAGCAATTAGTGCCATGAGATCATACAGTTGTTATTTTTTACAGTTGTTTGTAAAGATGGGACTCAGAGGCTATTTATGGAGGAAACTGTATTACATTGCTGAATCTTGTTTACATTTACTCTAGTTTTTAGCATTGCCTCTCCATTCCCAGAGTAGAAAGCGTACTAACTCTGCTGTGCATTCCCTGCTCTCTGAAAGACTCCACACAGCTCCCAGTACTGCTGTTTGTCCTTTTCAGGATGTGAAGCTGACTGAGGGCTGATGTCATCTTTCTCCACTGCTGTAGAGGTGAGCCGTAGGACAGAAACCAGGAAGGAAGGAAGAACTAGAGATGGGGGTGGGGTCACTGGCAAGAAGAGTCACTGCCAGAGCGGGACAGGTACATTTAGAGCGGGCTGCTGAAAGGTAGACGGACAAGAAGCATGCGATGCAGATTTATGGCACAGAGTGAGTGTCTGGGACTTGGTGCTCATCAAGTAGTAGTGATGATGGTGAGCGACTGGACTGCATGTCCTATCCTGCTGTTGTGGAGCAGGAGTTGCATAATGGTCCTCATCCGTTCTACAGCTTTCCACTCTGGTATGAGCTCACTTTGTGTTTAAGTGCGCTCACATGTGCACACACAAAGTCCAGGACAGACTTTACATTACATTACATTTAGCTGACACTGAGAGGTACAAACCCAGAACAACAAGAATCAAGTAGTACAATTTGCTTAAAAAAAGCCAAACTACAAGTGCTACATGCAAGTCCCATATAAGTGCAACAATTTTAGTCGAAAGAGATGTGTCTCTAGTCTGAGGCGGAAGTTGTGTAGACTTTCTGCTCTCCTGATGTCAACTTGGAGCTCATTCCACCATTTAGGAGCCAATACAGCAAACAGTCAGGATTTTGTTGAGTGGCTAGCTGGCAGTGAGGGAGCAGCAAGCCGATTGGTAGATGCAGAGCGGAGTGGACAGGCTGGGGTGTAAGGTTTGTCCTGGATATAGACTGGACCCGATCTGTTCACAGCACGGTACTAGTGTTTTGAAACGGATGCAGGCAGCCACTGCTAACCAGTGAAGGGAGCAGAGTAGTGTGAATAAACCTAGGTTTCGAGCAGCTGCATTCTGGATGAGTTACAGAGGTTGGATAGCACTAGCAGGCAGACCAGCCAGGAGGGAGTTGCAGTAGTCAAGGCCTGAGATGACCAGAGGTTGGACTGTTTCTGTGCCGCCTTCTGAGTGAGAAGAGGACGTATTCTCCTGATGTTGTGCAGCATGTATCTACACAAGCAGGTTGTTGAAGTAATGTTTCCAGTAAGGGAGAGTGGTGTCACACCCAGGTTCCTAGCAGCCTGGGTTACCACGGAATTGTCAAAGGTAATAGTCATATGTCATGGTTGGTAGAGCCTGTCCCTGAAAAGAGAAGTGTCTTGTCAAGGTTGATTTTAAGGTGTTGTGCAGACATCCACTGAGAGATGTCAGTCAGACAGTCAGAGATTCGTGCTTCTACCTGTTCTTCAGATTGGGGAAAAGAGAGGATTAGTTGGGTGTCATCTGCGTAGCGGTGGTAGAAAAAAGCCATGTGAGTGAATGACAGAGCCCAGAGAGTTGGTGTACAGAGAGAAGAGGAGAGGACCCAGGACAGAACCTTGAGGGACCCCAGTAGTGAGAGGACAAGTTTCTGACACGGATCCTCTCCAAGTTACCCAGTAAGTGCAGTGATTGAGGTAGGATGAGAGCAGGGAGATAGCAGAGCCTGAGACATCCAGATCCTGAAGGGAGGATATAAGGATCTAAGGATGGTTCACTGTGTTAAATGCAGCAGAAAGGTCTAGAAGGATGAGGAGAAATGAGAGAGAGATTGCTCTAACAGTGTGAAGTTCCTCAGAGACAGCAAGGGGGGCAGTCTCGGTTGAGTGGCCTGCCTTGAAACCATACTGGTGAGGATCAAGAAGGTTGTTATGGTGAAGATAGGAGGAGAGTTGATTAAAGATAGCTCACTCGAGAGCTTTGGAAAGAAAGGGAAGAAGAGAGAGTCTTTAGTTGATTACTTTAGATGGGTTGAAGGTGGGTTTCTTCAGGAGAGGGTTAGGGAGTGTGCATTGTAGTAGTAGTAACAGTTGAACAACCACATACAGCAGCTTTGTGTGTGTATCTGGGTGGGAATAGGAAAGAGCTTTGACCTCAGAGGCTTGGCTGCAGAGGTTTCCTCTATCGTGAACTCTGCGGGGGTCAGACACAGGGCAATGCCAGAGCAAGAAAACAAGGGCAGGGTCCCCAGCCTAGTACTTCTGCACCCAGCGAGGGAGGGAGAGAAGGGAGGGGTTGTCTAAGGATGATATGGGGCGGCAGTTAAAACCTATTGGAAGAAAGACCAGATGTAGGCTTGTAGAGAGATTGCAGAAGAGGGTTAATTCTTACTAGTTCCTGGAATATGTTGTGCAGCCTCACCTGGATTGTTTCAGGCTACACAAGCCTGAGCAGTGTGTAGTTTTTGCACATGCAGTCCCAGGCACATAGACAAAGAGCCAGGCTGGTGAATATGTGCCTTCCTGAGACAGTAGCTCCTCGCACTGATCTCTCTCACAGACTGCTGCGGCATGTCTGAGCATGTAAGTGTTCAGGAAAGTGTTTGAATACGCAGTGTGTGTGTAGTGGCTGCTGGCAGAGTGGTATCATTCTAGCGGGCAGGCTGGCTGAACGCAGGATGACCCATTTCCCCCGAGGTTCCAAATCACTGCATCATCATCAGTCCCTCCTCGCAGTCGAACAGATGAGATTTCACTTCCATCAAGCACTAAGACGGAACCAAGGCTGCTTTACTTACAGGATAGTCTGCACTCATAAATCTGTAGGAATCTTAAATCTCCTCTCTCACTTCATTTTTAACCTCAATTTAGCCCCTTAACTTGACTTTAAGCTTTCACAGTCTGTCTGTATTTTGAGTCATTTCAGAGGGAACTTGCTAAGTGCACTTAACATTCAACACTTATCCTTTCATTAGATTGTAGCACACAATACAAGCACACAAACATGTAAACACACTCTGAGTTCATGCCCTCTGATCACATTGTTCTGCCTATATTTATATATGTGTGCTTTCAGGTGCTGATATGTGATGAAGATGAGTAGTGTAGGAGACAACTCGTTGGAGCCGCTGTGCTCTGACCGCAAACGTAAACTGTCCACCTGTGACACACCAGGTTTAGGGTAAGTGCTGAACATTCTGTCAAGTATTGTACATTTATCATTTCCACTGTGGCTCCTCCTGCTTTTTGTTTAAATGTCAGCGAGAGCATTAGGTCACTTCCTTCCTCCTGGCCTCACGTCCTGGTTCAATCGTGTGTCTGCTGCTGGTAAACTAACTGAAGCATCTGAGACCCGGACTGTATAGCCTTGCATACGGCCAGGGCATAGAGAGGTGAGGTTGCCGTGGCAACACGTCTAATCCCCTTGGTGACCCGGCAGGTGTGACAAGCGTCGAAGGGAACAGGAGAGCAAGTACATCGAGGAGCTGGCTGAGCTCATCTCTGCCAACCTCTCCAACATCGACAGCTTCAACGTCAAGCCTGACAAATGTGCCATCCTGAAGGAGACCGTGAGGCAGATCAGACAAATCAAAGAGCAAGGTACCACAACCATAAAAATCACACCCACACTCCTGGTTATGAACAAAGCATCATATGAAAAGTCAGAATTTGACCACAATTTGACTATATTTTAACTACCAAAATAGATTTTCCTTTTTATGTTTGTGGAGTTAACGATGAGTAAAGTCCGAGTGAAACGAGGCAGTGACCCTGCTGCAGGGCAGATGATGCTACTGATGAAGTGGTGTGTTTGGTTCAGACCAACAGTCTGTTTGCCTTTTTGTGTCACTGGGGGTAAATTAACACCAGTAATTGAGACCAATCTTTGGTGGTCATGACTCAAGGCTGTGAGTGACGGTGTTTGTCTGTTGTTGGCAAATTCCGCGTCTCTCTGGGAGACTAAGGACACCGGTGACTCAGAAATCAGACCTTGGCGATTTTGTAATTATTTTGCAGATCTGAGATGATTAAATGAGTAAAGGAAGATATTTCTTGCTGATCGGTTTAGATTAAATCTGTGAGGTTAAGTGGCTAAGGAAGAGAGAGAGAGAGCAATCATACTGGAATCTACCCAGAGGGTCACAGCTGGCTACTGCTGGCCACCGCGTTCTGCAGCCAGGTTGCCATAGTTACAGGATAGGAATTATGGAGGGCCTCTTTTTTCTTCTCTTTTATGTCATCCATATTGTCCATTTAACAGACCTTTTCCCGCCCCCTGTTTAATCATATTTGCTTTTGCATCAGTTTAATTTGTGTCCGTCTTTTAATCTCAGTCATTTCTTTCTCTCCTCTGTCTAACTAGTTCAGTTTGAAATGAAATGAAACCCATTTAATGGCATATTATTTGTCGTCTTGCTTCGTGCCTTGTGCCACAGATGGCCCCGCTATAGAGTGAGTGGTATCTAACTAAGCATCAAACACATGCTGATTTAAAAATAGAAAGGCATGCTAACCATGCATTCATGTCTCGTGCTGCCACCTGGTGGCCAGAAGAAGTTCTGTATTACACTGTATAAATGAAGCAACTATAAATCAGAGATTTGTTGCCATGAAAAAATGACAAATAAGGAAAGAAATAAAATGTATTGTGGCTGAAAATAAAAGCACTTGTTATATGCATTTTTTAAAATTCTGGCTCCTAAGTGTTTTGAGAATAATAACTTTTCAATTTGAATGTTTTAATCAGTGGTGCAATATGCTTTATCTGTCATTAGGAAAAAGTTCTTGCAGTGATGACGATGTCCAGAAGGCAGATGTGTCATCCACTGGTCAAGGGGTCATTGACAAGGACCATCTGGGGCCACTACTCCTACAGGTCAGTTTTGGCACTATCCTTGTGGGGCAAGAGACCATCACCAATTAATATGCTGAATCAGTGGTTCAGTGTGATATGCATCAAATATGTTTGTGTAAATAATATGTTTATGACTCCCTCCATTCAACTCTCCCCCTTCTTTTGTCCCGCTGTCTTTAGGCTTTGGATGGCTTTCTATTTGTGGTGAACCGAGAGGGCAACATAATATTTGTGTCAGACAATGTGACCCAGTATCTGCAGTACAAGCAGGAGGAGCTGATCAACACCAGTGTTTATAACATCATCCACGATGAGGACCGGGAGGAGTTTCACAAGAATCTTCCCAAGTCCAACGGTGAGACATGGGTTATTTCATGTGCTGGTGCAAACCTATGGTGCAAACACAAACAAGACCATTCATAACTAAATGTACATGCGGATACAACCACCTATTCACAAACACATCTCATCTTATTATCATCATCCTTTTTTTCATAGCACCAAACGGAGCATCATGGGGTGGAGAGGTAGCCCGGCAGAAGAGTCACACCTTTAACTGTCGTATGCTGGTGAACTTTGTTCATGGTCAGAGTCATGGGTTGTCAGATGAGAGACCTGGAGGCCAACGCTATGAGACCATGCAGTGTTTTGCCCTCACTCAGCCCCGGGCTATGATGGAGGAAGGAGAAGGTAAAAGTCATTATTAACTCCTTTGAATGTTTTAATTTGTTTTTTCAGTTTAATTGAAAATGTTTTGGTAAATATAACAGTTCATTACATGACAACAGTCCTTTACAATGACTGATGAAGAGGATATGGTTATCCAGCATTTATGCTCCGTGCAACAGAAAATTTAAACAACGTTCCAGAGTGGGACCTTTGTGTCTTTTCACAAAAGGAGCTTTCTTTGGCACAGAGTGGCATAAATGTGCAGGCTCTTCTTTGTTTTTGATTGATCGCTTCAGACCGCCTTGCACCTTGTGATGTGCAGTCAGTTTTTTTCGTCTCTTAATCAGCATTTATGCCACAAATGATTTGTTTACATGACCAGTGTTTTACTAGGTTGAAACATAATGTGTAGTTATGTCTTCTATTATTTACTGATCACTTTGTCTTAAAATCATTCTTACAATACTATGTCCACAAGCAAGATGCTGAATGTCCAATTTCTCCTCCAGTGTGGTTAAATGAGGACATTAAAATTGTGCTGTGTTTTTCCTCAGATTTGCAGTCTTGTATGATTTGTGTGGCACGACGCATCACAGCAGTAGAGAGAACAGAAAGGTTTAGCACTCGTCATGAACTGTCTGGTAAGTTTCCACTATGCAACATCTAATAAATCCAAATCAAGTACTGTCTTGAAATGTGTTCATTTTTAAAACATGATACGACCATAAATAGGCCTTAAGTCTGATCTTTGTCCATTTTAAAATAGGTATTAGAATTCAAATTTCCAACTTAAACTTTGTCCTGATATGAGAGTATGACCTTCAAACCACGTTATTGTAGCAACCTTATTTGCTCAAATTAAAACCGGTGGTTCATTAAAAACTAGGTCTCCAATATTAGCTGCTGGTGTGATGTTCATAAATACCGCTTAAATATTATAAATTCCACAAAATGTTATTTTTAGCTCTTTCTTGGCATTATTATTTAAGTATTTTGACCTATTTCAGTCACTATGGATGTTTGTGTTTATTCACTATGGTTTGTCTTCCTCTAATTCTGTCCAGCTTTTGTTGCATGTGGTAAACCTGCAAATGTTTCACAATAAAAGCCCTGGTAAGAAATTAAGGTTGTCTGTCAAATGAAACAGGATAGGGCTTGGAATTTGAAACTACTGGGTTTGGTTGGGTTTTTATTAACAGTGTAATATAGTAACTTGAACGGGGCAAATGGGACCTGATTAAAATGGAACCTTCCCACTAAGATATAATATATTATACTTAGCGAACAGAAAATTAAAGGCCTGCTTCTAAAAAACCCTGATACTTTCTGTGGTTGAGTTAAACAAAGAACTCTGGTGTTACATCATGTACACTATAGATTCTCAATACACTGATTTAGGAAAATACATTGCATCTAAAATTGTTGCTTTTTTCCTTGGCCACCATTAGCCATTAGTATTTTTCTAATCCAAGTTGTACATCTTCTTTTGCAGGTAAGCTGATTGAAATCGAACACCAGAGCTCTCTTCACACCACTATGCGCCCAGGTTGGGAGGACCTGGTGAGACGTTGCATGCAGATGTTCCTCCAACACAGCGAGGGCCAACCGTGGTCCTACAAACGTCACTATCAAGAAGGTATGTCGTGATATATCTCCCATGTGACCTTCATAGGAGATAGTTCACTTCATCATTACTTTTTTTAAAAAGGCGTTCGGTGCTGTATTACAATGTTTATGCAGCAGCTTGATGTCCTCAAACCACTGACCCAGACATAGACACAGATTTGATCCATTATGGGAACTAGGAAGTAAAATTTGATCATTGTTAGAACTCAAGGAATGCGCCAGAACACAAACCTCCTCATCAAAACAAATGTGCATGTCCTCAGAAAGTATGTGAACAATTCTGTTCACAAGGCTGCCCGTTATCTGCATGTATGTGAACGCATGTTAGAAAACAAGTGAATATCCCTACTAAGAGTTAGGTCCTTTATATTAAAGTCTTTGTTTTAATTAAAATCAACATTTGGGAATCTTATGAGAAAATTCAAAAGATGAAGCGAAAGAGGTGTATGTGACATTTGTTTATTGCAGTTACAGCCTCTTACATGTCAAGTTGTGAAACTAAATGTGTGAAACATTCTCCATCACAGATTGACACATGTTTAGCATGTGTGTGCTCATAACTCTGGGAGCTCTTCTTTGCCATTATCTATTTATGTTGTTAGTGTTTATACTTTTTCCAGTTGTCAGCTATTGATTGTGAGCTTGAAGTATCTGTTTTTTCTTCTCCAGCTTTCCATAATGGCCACGCAGAGACCCCACTCTACCGCTTCTCACTCTCTGATGGCACCCCAGTCACAGCCCAGACTAGGAGTGACCTCTGCAGGAATCCCAACACCAATGAGCCCCACTCTTTCTTGTCCACACACCTGCTACAAAGGTTCAAATGCTCCAACAATTAAAACTAGAAAGATTTTGACAAACTTGGGTGAATATCTGACTGCATTGTACTGACGCAACTTTGTTCTGTTTGTAACTATTGTTATATCTCATATTTTCTTGAAGAGAGCAAAATGGTTATCGTGGAAATCAAGGCGGAGGCATGAGGCCTCAAAGCATGGGTGTGAACAACACCAACCAACAGATGAACATGGGCCCAGGAGGAGGCATGGGCATGAACAGGGGCTATGGCATGGCCGACCAGGGCAACATGCCACACAGAGGAATGCCTCCATATGCTGGGGGCAACCGCATAAATCCTATGAATCAGATAAATCCCATGCATCAGGTGAACAACGTGGGTCAAATGAATTCCATGCATCCAATGAACTCGATGAACCAAATGGGGCCCATGAATCAAATGGGCCACCATGGCATGCACCAGCAGCAGCAGCAGCACCAGCAGCAGCAGCACCAGCAGCAGCAGCACCAGCAGCAGCAGCAGCAGCAGCAGCACCAACATCAGCACCAACATCAACAGATGAGTCAGTTCCATGGAGGAGGAGGTGGACCTGGAGGCGGAGGGTACGGCATGGGAATGACCAGCCCCCCTCAGGCCAGTCCAGGGATTAACGGCCCCCCGCACAATGTCATGGGCTCGCCCAGAGTCCGAGGAAGCCCCAAGATGGCCGCTAGCCCCTTCTCTCCTGGTGGTAAGAACCAAATATTTTAATTAAATGTAGAAAACCCGCTTCTTAAACAAAGTGTTTGCTAATATTTGTTTTATTCATTAGTTACTTACATGACTGTTGCAGGTATGAACTCTCCCATGAGCTCCAGTCACCCTGGTAACTCTGGAGGGGGAGGGGTAGGCACCACCTTCTCCAGCAGCTCCTTGAATGCCCTCCAAGCCATTAGTGAGGGAGTGGGCAATCCGATGCCCTCCCCACTCACCTCTCCTCCCCCTCAAAAACCTGACAGCTCCCCAAGCATCAACTCCACCAACCAGTCAGCAGGTGGACCATGTAAACCTGGCCTCCCAGCCTACTCTGACTCTAAGAGCCCAGGCAGCTCACTGGGGGCTGGAGTAGAGCAGCAGTCGCAGCAGCATCCACACACCCCCACCAGCGAGGGCCCTCCTGACAAGCCAGACAGCCAGGTCAGCCGAGAGATGGGTCCGGCCGGGGGAGAGACCAGTCGACGGGTCCCTGACAGCAGATGTCACAAGAAACTTCTGCAGCTCCTCACTTCCCCAACAGATGAGTTGGTGCCACCTAATCACTCATCAGGCTCTGGACCCACCTCCTCGCCTGAGACCAAAGATGGAACAGCAGGCGTCACCAGCCCCTCCTCATCAGGAGTGTCCTCCTCTACAGGCGGAAATCATGGCGCCGTGTCCTCCTCTGGTGGCACAGGACATTTATCAAGTCAGTCGCTGCAGGAAAAGCACAAGATCCTCCACAAGCTCCTCCAGAATGGGAACACTCCTGATGATGTGGCTCGCATCACAGCCGAGGCCACCGGGAAGAGCAGCTTGGATTCAGAGCCTGGGCCTGCTGCCCCTGGAGGAGTTAGGGGGTCAGAACCAAAACAGGAGCAGCACAGCCCTAAAAAGGAGAAGCCTCACGCACTCCTTCACTACCTCCTCAATAAAGACGACTCAAAAGAAAGTGGAGATATCAAGCCAAAGCTGGAGGAGCTGGAGGCGAGAGGACCTCAGGGGGCAGGGGTCACCAGCTCTGATCCCCACTGCATGGAGGGAAAGGTCAAATTGGAGCCAACTGATGAGGTAATTTTTTCCCCCACAATAAAAACTTGTAAGATTTATTTTAATATAGCCAGTTGAACATTGTTCTCCAATCATTCCCACGTCCCTTGTTCAGGCGGAAACTCTGGAGACCATCCTCGGTGTCCCAAGGAACAACTCTGGCTTCTATCCTGAACCAGACTCCAGAGTAGGGAAGGAAGTGGGAAACAAACAAGGAAATATTCCTGACAGTTTACATGGTAAGTCAGCGGGTAAGATCTAAGATATATGATCAGATGGAACACTGCACTGTAAAGATGTTCATACTGTATGTTGAAAAAAAGAGAATATATCGTCAACACACTTTGCTTATTTAGGTAGATGTGTTTTTAGGTCTTGCATGAGTTATCACACCGTGGACACTTTGAATCTTCTAACCTAAATGGTTGAAGTTTTGTAACATCACCTTGGTGCTTTGTGTTTCAGATGGGGAGAAAGGCCCCATACCTCCAGGTCAGCGTGGTGTCTATCAAAGAGCTTTGTCGATGGATGCCAAGCCCATGGGTGCAGAGGGAGCAGTAGGAGGCGGGCTAGCTATGAGAAGGAACGTCCCCTGTCCCACATTGGTCAAACAGGAGAATGTGGATGCTCCAATCCGACCTGGGGGTGTTCCCAATGGCTTTCCTGGAGGCATGGGTGTGTGTCCACCACGGGGAAATCTAAGTAAGTTAAACATTTATTTCTTAGCATGCAAAAAACAAGCGTGACCTGGCCACCGAATAGACGGCATGGAGATGTTTGTTTACCCAGCACTACCTGCTTTTGAATTTTAAACCCACTATCTTTGAAAGTACAGAAGCTTGAAGTTTTCACTATATTGCTAAGATTAATGAGAAAACAATGTAAATGGTCTATTTGTTGATCAGGAGCAATGGGCAGAGGTATGGGAATGCCCCAACGCCCTCCCATGGCAGGGCCAGGGGAGTGGGGGATGCAAAGGTCTAGCGTCAGCCCTGCAATCGGACCAGGACATCCGGGCATGGGTCGCTCTGGACCAATGGGAGGACCCATGATCAACCGCTCCAACAGTGTACCTGGTAACACCAGGTCCATGCTGCAGCAGCAGCTCATGGATATGGGTATGTCACATATCTCCCTTGTAATACCTTAAAGGTCCAGTGTGTAAGATTTAGGTGAAAGGGATCTATTGACAGAAATTTAATGTAGAATAATTCTCATGATGTTTTCACTAGTTCATTTAATATAAATTGTATGAATTGAAGTTTTCTTTACCCCAGAAAAGGACCTTTATATTCAAATACCTTATATTTACATTGAGGGGACCCTCTCTACGGAGGCCGTCATGTTTTTGCATTAGTCCAGACTGGACAAACTAAACGACTTTTGAGATTTTATGACAATTAAATGCTACCACAGGTTCTTTTTCATGTTTGGAAGGGGAGGGTGAGGTGAGGGATATTCAGCTGCAACATGCAACTTCAACACTAGATATCACAAAATTCTACACACTGTACCTTTAAGCTGTAACTAGTGAATGCTTTTTGGTTGGACATTTTTGCATTATATCCTGAAGTAAAGTAAATATCTGAATTGGATTTGCAGGTACCAATGAAGCCAATATGAGCATGAGCCCATTTCGTGGACATGGTCCTCCACCTCGGTCCCCCTCCTGGCCAGACTCTGCTATGGTAATGGACCGACCACAGAGTAAAACAAACAGGTAAACCATCCAGTCCTCTCCCTCCTCATGTTTACCACATTGTAGACTCCAAGCTGGATTCAGAAGGTCACATTATTAGCATCTGTGATCACAGTTTCCTGTTCTTGACAGGATTTAACATACTTAATATCTGCATGTTTAGGGACCAGTTTGCGCACCCCCTGGAGGAGTTGCTGGGGCCCCTGACCAACAGCGAAGGCCCAAGTGATGAGCGAACACTTCTGGACCAGCTAGACTCTCTACTCAACACGGCCGATGTCAGTGCTCTGCAGGAAATAGACCGAGCCCTTGGCATCCCTGAAATAGTTGGCCAGGTACATGACACTCTACAGAGTAAATTTTATGTTGTCCACATGTTGTTAACAGGATGATGAGAAATTACAAGGCTCAAATGAACTTCAAGGCTTCAGAAATTATAAACATTTATTAGCTTTTCTGCTAATTACATGTGATTTGAATGTGGGCTCTTTATGTTGTAATAAACCCCCTAGTTTTTTTTAGCAGATCTAGTACATGTGATTCTCATGTAGTTGTTTAATGTAGTGTACATGCGTGTTTACGTCTTTGCCAGCTATTTGGTCATTTTCCATTCAGGTTTATTTTGTTTACATTACCATCACATTCAACTCCTCTGTTCCCCAGAACCAGGGACCTGAAGGTCACCCGCAGGATCCAGGTCGGGGTCCAGTTCGGGTTCGGGGTCAGTGCCCACCATCAGAGCCTTTCCCAGTGCCGGAGTCTTCCATAGGCATGGACAAAAAACCCATGTATGGGCAGGGCTACCCTGGCACCCCAGGCACCCCCTCCGTGGGCATGCAAGCTGGTTACAGCGGCAACACAATGCAAGGCCAGTCTCCTGCAGGCTTCAACCCTATGATGAATCAGATGGGCCAAACAGGGAGCTTCCCAGGCATGGGGGGTATGGGCAACCCCCGTGCAAACATGATGAGACCTCGCATGATGGCCACCAAGCCTCTCCGACTCCAGCTACAGCAGAGGCTGCAAGGGCAGCAGGTGATCACAAAGATAATATTCAGCCTAACAGTTACCCACAATACAGATATTGAACTGTTCAAATTTGGTGCGATTTGGACATGCTTTACAATCAGTATTATAAACTTTAAAGGAGCAGTGGCAGCAAGGACTCATCAATTTAATTGACTTAGTCGATCAGGATGGCAGCGCATCTACAACAGATACATTGAAGCCTATTCCAAATGAGACACTGGCATAATGAACAGTTTTTCTCCCGTCTCTTGTGGCAGTTTATGAACCAGACCCGACAAGGCATGAAGATGGAAAATGCACCCGGAGGAAATCCTGCCATGCGTCCTGGCATGCAACCTGCCATGCGTCCTGGCATGCAACCTGCCATGCAGCCTGCCATGCAGCCTGCCATGCAACCAGGCATGCAGCCTGGCATGCAACCCGTTATGCAGCCTGCCATGCAACCCGGCATGCAACCCGGCATGCAGCCCGGCATGCAACCTGCCATGCAACCTGGCATGCAGCCTGGCATGCAGGCTGCAGGCATGGGTGGTCAGGTATGTAGTGAGCCCTTCCTCACATCCAATTGTGTGAATTCACTTGCCACTTTAATAAAGCCCAACTGCAGAATTGAGGTCAGAGTATTGATGTTTTCTTCCTGCAGCCTGGTTTCCTAAACGCTCAGATGATGGCTCAGCGCAGCAGAGAGATGATGACCATGCAGATGAGGAGGCAGAGGATGATGATGCTGATGCAGCAACAGCAAAAACAACAACAGCAACAGCAGCAGCAGCAGGGAGCAGCAGCAGGCTTCAGCCCTCCTCCGAATGTCACCGCACCAGGAGGCATGGACAACCCCATGGGAGGACCCCCCTTAAACCAACCTGGACAGCATGGCTTCAACTATGGAAGCAACTATGGTGAGTTGACGGTGCTAGTTGTCTATTTCCACCTGGACATTCAAGTTTCACAGTAACGTGACTGTTCTCTTGTTGTGCTTGCAGGGATGAACCAGCAGGGGGATCCATCTTTTATGCCTCCAGGCAGCAGCCCACCAGGAAACTTGATGCAAGGACGAATGGGGGGCCCTCCTCAGAACACCATGACGCCAGGGATGCAGGGAAACCCACAGGGAGGACCCATGTACCCATCTGGCGACATGAAGGGCTGGCCACAGGGCGGCATGCCTCGCAACAAGTATGTAACAGCAAACCTCTCCCAGCAATGCATTTCTGCATAATACTCAAAAGATGGCTGAGTATACTGTTTCTGAAACAGTTCAAATCGTATCTGTTGAAATCCTCTTTATGTCCTGGTAGCCATGAATAAACCAAAGTAAATGATTGGCTGGCGTACCTGTCCGTCACTAACCGACCTACCTGCCTGGGCGCACGCACCTTGCCCATGCTCCCATTGCACATGACCAGAGTCTTCAGCTACAGAAACATACACAACAGAAACAGAGATGAAAACCAGAAGTGGGTTTTTTTGTCAAACTTTTCAAGGATTACCAACCCACGTTTTTTCTGCTCTCCAGCTCCTACTCGCAGCAACAATTCCCCCAGCAAGGCAACCAGGGCCAGTTTGGACCCATGATGATGAACAACTCAATGGCTGGACCTGGGCAGGTCAGCGGGGCTGTTGCAGGACAGATAGGACAGATGCCGGGCCAAATGCCGGGCCAGATGCAGGGCCAGATGCAGGGCCAGATGC